CGGTTATTCTTCGAACCCCTTCGTTTTCCACAAGGGTTTTTTCTTGCTTACCTTGGCTGCAACAGGCAGTGAAAGATGAACATGCTGATTTGCAGCCTTTGCATAGGAATCTTACCCCCCAACAATCAGAAAATAAATAAAAAAGACATCACAGAGAGGTTAAGAAACCTCCTAGAAGAACAAATACTCTAAGCTGTCAACATAAATTTCATGAGGCTCAGTACTAGTGAAGTTGCTTTTGTGCCAACTGGCATTTTTCATAATGCCAGTTAAAGCAGACACAGTGCTAAGCTAACCTTGACTAGTTAACTGAAACACTTATTTTCCTTTCTCCTTCTCTTTCTTTTTTTATAAATTTTAACAGCTTCTCAGCAAGTTCTCATTCCCCCCCACCCTCCTCCTGCTTATTATCCTGTCCTTTAATCATCATTCATCCTCAGAGGAGGGTGAAAATAGACAAGAAAATGAATCCTGTGCTGTTTGGTAATAGAGATCTCTAATGAAAGTCACTGTGAGTTTTCTCTTTCTATTTTCAAGATTTTTTTGCTTTTGTCTCCTTCTTGAGGCACCACAGGTGAGGCTTACTGCATGATATGTATATTCCAAAAAGGTAGCACACTCTTTTTTTTCCACAGAAACCCTGGGCTGAGGGGAACATTGCTGGGGGGAACCCAGAAGTCACTAAGCACATTTGATTTTATTTGCAACAAATTCCAGAGGCTCTCCTAAAATGACTCTGGATTATTCCAGGAGAAATCACAACTCCCGAGCACACAAAAAGCAGAATTTTCGAAGCATATTGCAGAGAAACACTGAGGTACACATTGCAGAGGAGAGACCAGTTTGCTCTCAAGCATCTGCTTATCAGCTCCATTCAGTGAACTCTTTAGTTCTTTTTTACCAGGGAGTGGTCTTTCCTCGGGAAGAGGCTGAATTCAGCACTGGAGGAATGTAATGCTGCTCAGATGAGTGAGGGGTTCAAAGTTTCATTCGACATTAATTTAACTTCCTACCCACTAAAGCCTGTAAGACTCTCACAGGCCCTATTTTTTTGGCAATTCAAGTATCAGTTTCAGAAGCCAGAGCCAGTTTCCTGCATCTTCTTTAAGTCTGTGTGACCAGTTCAGGGATGAACAAGAAGTCTGGATCAGCCCTGACTGCACTAGTGGAGGAAAGCCCCTTCAGCAGCTACAGTGGTTTCAAACACCAGCAGTTCATGCAGGGCACCCTGCTGTACTCATTTGTCATTTCAGCTAATTTATAAGCTTTTAAAACTTTCAAGACTTAATAGTCATACCCAGGCGAGGAACAAAAGTGAAATCCATTAAACCCCTATTATTATTTAAGTAAATTTAGTGGTGGCATTAGGAAGCTGATTGACATGACTCTGGGAACCAGTTACACGAGTGTTAGGTGAATTTTCCTTTTGCTGCTCTCTGACCAACCTGCCCTCAGCCAGTGCAAGAAGGATCAGCTCTCAGCCAGGTCTGGACTTGCCTAAAACTCCAGCAACAAGCTGTTGGTGCAGGTGTTTCCTGGAAATTCAGAAACAAGCACAGAGCTTGTTTAATTCTCCCTGGGTACCAACATAAAACAGCTGCTTAATTTTATGTCAATGCTTTTCAATCACTTCTGACTGATGCTGGAATCAAAGCATGCCCACCAAAGGAAAGCTTTTGTGTCTCTATTCCCACCCTGTGAGGCACCTGCTCCTGCCAGGGGACTTTGTTTGGAGAAGGTCCTACTTGGTCCGTATGAAGATTTAAAAATATATTTATAAATACTGAGTAGCACCTTGATCCGAATGACCTTCATCCAAACAGTAATTAGCTACTGGAAGACCAAGTCAGAGTTCAACAAAGCCCATAGCAGAGATTCAGAGATAAAACATGCTTTAACCTAAAAAATAGTGCACACACTAGAGCTGGAGAAAGGCAACTGAATTTACAAAATATATCAGTACATGGATACAAATTGTACTTACATCATTCTCAGGGTGCTTTTTTTTGTCTGCATGCATGGGATTTATTAAACGTAAAATCAGCTGAGGCATGTTATCAGAAATAATGTCTGAAAGAGCTGTCAGGTTTGTAAATAGCTGGTTATACTAATAAGCCAAGATAACTTCAGCCTCAATGTAACATTCTCAGGAAAATCAGGGGTTCCTGGAAATGAAAAGAAATATATGAACTCTTTTAAAGATCACTGAAGCACATTGTTTAAATTGATATTATCATGTTGGCCATTCTACAGGGAAAACTAGAGTAGTGAATAAAAAAGCACAGAGCAAAGAATGGCAGAAGTAAAAACTATTATTAACATCTCCAAGGATCTCAAGATAAGTCTTGAATGATAAAGGTCCATCAGCAGGGAGAAAGGATCATTGAGAGAAATGATTTCTAGTCCCCAGACACTGACAAAGAGAGGCCTAAATATTCAGTATTGAGTGTGGGCACTTTTTTTTGACTGTAGATTATAGGCATGTCCCTCCATGTCTGGGGGATTCAGTAGGGCTGATCTCAAAAAGCACATTAGTGCCCTTTTGATGTTGACTTGTGAGCTATTTCCAATGGCAACCAGTGCATGAAGCATCCCCAGGTATCAATCAGGTCACTGGTGAAGTGTGTGAGGAAATCTGAACACTGACAGGGAAAAGGAAAATGAAAAAAGCCCAGACAGAAACACCATGTATGAAAGTCTGAATTTAAATGACTCATTTGAGGCAACTAATTCAAGCAGTGGCAAAGCTGGACACAGAGGGTAATGCAGGAGGGTATGAATGGGAAGGATTTGCTGTGCAGTGCTACTGCTTCCTGGGATCTGGAGCTCATGCACTGGCTGCAGGATGCTCAGGAGGCAGGACCAGGCACTGCTGCTCCCCTGGCATCTCCCCTCCCAGGACACTCTTGGAGCTCAGCCCTGATCCCAGCCAGGAGAGCCCAACTCCATCCCTGGGCCACAGAGTTTGGAGCCTGCAGAAAGGATTTCTGCTCTGTGGGAATCAAGCAGCAGCCTTTCAAAAAGCAGCCTCGTGTCACACACAAGCTTTAGGAGTGGTGGAAAACCACTCCTAAACTCCTTGTTTGTAAAGGGGAAGGAGCTGTATTCACCTGCCATCCCCTTCCTGCTCAGAGCCCCTTCAGGCTCTGGTCCCCTTTCCCTCCCTCACCACTGATCTCTCTCTACACCTGCAAATCCAGAGCAGAGCTGGGGGGTTTCAGCTGTAACCCCCCAGATTGTACAACAAAATGGCTCTTTTTGGAGAGATGAGGAAGACAGGAAAGAAAGAGAAGTACCAAACCTGCAGCCAGGGATCCGAGCAGAAGCTGTCACCTGAACAGTCCCCAGCCCCAGGAGCTGTGGGTAATTTCAGCTTGGTGCAATGCTGCCAATAACTGTGTTATTTAATCGGCAGAGCTTATGCAGTGACTTTTTATGGGGTTTTTCCAGTTCCACCCACTCACTCCCACAGGACCAGAGAAAGAAAAGTTTCCCACAAGAAACACTTGGAGTGACCTTCCTCTTGCAGCTCAACCTGCTCCATCAATGCAAAGGCCATTATTGGATCTTAAATCACCCTGGAAATTGCTCGAGCAGGGAAACCTAAAATTTCCCCCCTTCTCTTTCTGGGATTTCCATTTGCCAGAGATACGGGGTAGGAGAGGGATTACTGCCCTGCCAACACTTCCCTCCAGAGTGGGTAGAGAGCCAAACTGCAGAGGATGATGAGAATAAATTACAGCTGAGAGGAGAGGAGAGCTCTAAGGAAAGAAAAATGCTTCCTCTGACTGCCTCATCCCTGCGGCACAGCAGAACAGTGCCAGGAAATCCACAGCAAACTAACAAGACCCTTTCTTCAAAACCTAATCTACATCAACAAATACAAAATATCTCAAAATTTCTGATCATTTCACTGACAAATGTAGACACTGGATGTACTGCTGAATTTTGTATTCTAAGCCATGTATATAAAAACCCTACAGGGCTGATTGCTGAGGACCTACTATATGAAATGGCTCATAATCTAGTAAATCAACACAAAAATACAGACTGAGCCATTCCTTCCCAATTTAGGCTTTATTTGCATATGCTTTTTTTTTTTTTAAATAGTGTATAGCTTTCATTTTTTCTTTCACTCCACACTGGACAGACATTTTAGGCCCTCAGAAAAAAATTGAATATATGAATAAAAGAAAGTCACGGAAAAAAATGACAGCAATTTTCATGTTAAAGATGGCTTTGACATATTAATTAGTATCTCAGAAATGAAATAAAGCCAGTGATACAGAATGATTCATTAGAATGATATTAATCTGAGGAATAATTAATTCTGAGGGGATGGATAAAAAGCATACAAATAGATATATTAGCTGCAAAACTCTTCAGCAATGACTGTGACAGTGATTTCTAGCAGCAGTGGATGAGACTGTGGATAATACAATTTTCTCAGCAGATGGTTTGGTAGGTGGCACTCTCTCCTAAGCTGGTGTTACAGATTTACTCCTGAGCTGCCTGCCAGAATCAAATAGATCCTAACCCATATTCCATCCCAGCCCCTGACTGTTGGATGGAGAACTGTTTAATAGAAGATTTGTGTGGTTTTCTAATGCAGGACATGTGATGATGAAGAGTGTCCTTGGTACCTACAACAAGTGAGCAACAGTTTGCCCTAGAGCTGATTATTAAATTCACATTATTACACATCCAGTATGGTCAGACTTCACAGCTTTGCCACTGATTTGTAGTCACTGCTACAAATCCTTGAATTAAAGATAATTAAACTAATACTTACCAAAAAAAGAGAAGCATCACTTCTTGCTCATAGTGAAGACTGACAGCAGCATTTCAGACCTTCACTGTAAGGAGCCACAGGAGCCCAGCCAGGACTCTCTGCATGGGAAGCAGCCCCAGGGTGCCCAAGGAGCACAGCAGGTCCAGCTGTGGTAGAGAGGGTCAACCAGCAGTTCAGCAATGACCAGACCACTCCAAATGTCCCACTGCTGAAGCTCTGTCTCAGGCAGCATTTTCCCATCTGCAGCTCCCCAGACAACCCTGCTGTGGTTGCAATGTCGCAGTTCCACCTTCAGGTTCTGGAATTAAACTGTTCTCCAAGGCAAGATGCTGGTTGTCAAAGTCAAGTCACACAGCCTGGGCTTGATGGTAGTCAGAAACATTCCACCAAGTTCAGTGAAACACTGGGACAAGAATCCAAACAAGAATCCATCCTGAGGTCTAAACTCTGGGCTGCTCCACTCCTCATGACAAACTTTCATTCAAACTTTTGAAAAAGCCACTGATCCAACTGGATTACCCCAAACCACAGTATAATCCTAAATCCACTTTCACCCTAGCTCATCTGGATATGTTATCCTGTTCCAGCCTCCGTGCCTGTCCCACCACATTAGGCAGCACTGTTTCATCCCACAACATGGGTAACATCTCCCTCTGCATCCCGCCTCGATGCCCTTGGCTTTTCCCTGCCCTGTGTTGCAAAGAGCCATTGTTGACACAGTCTCTAACAGAAAGTACTTTCCCAGGCTGGAAATGTTCCCTGAGTTTCACCATCCATTTGTCAACATCTGTCCCAAGGTCAAGGGCCTTCCAAGCCAGCCGGTTCTCCCTGCTCCCTTCCTGCAAAGCCACAGGGGCTGGGCTTTGCAAGTCAGGGCTCAGCTTCACCAACACAGGCACCCAGTGTCTCTTCCTCAGTCCACCAAACCAGTCCCCTCCATTTAGGAGACACTAAAATCAGGGATGTCTTCTAGATACAAGTTCCATTTCAGGAAAGGCTATAGGATCTGTTCCTATCTACTTTCTAGTTTTACTTTTCCCCCTGCTCTTTACAGTGATTTTCTCCTGTGATTTTCTCAGCATTTTGTTCTAAGAATTTCCCCTGTGTCTTTAGGAACTATGGACAGCTCATCCAGGATTTTTCCATTGTTTTCTTGCATTTTTCCACACTCAGTGCCAGCACAGTCATCAGCAGAAAAATGCAGCACAGTGCACAGGGAGTTTCACCAACCAGCGGAACCTCAGGGGAGCCAAGAGAGCCACCAGAGCCTGCGACTGATGGGACCCAACTGGACGAGGAGCAATGGCCTCAAATTGCTCCAGGGGAGGTTTAGATTAGATATTACAAAAAATTTCTTCACCCAAAGGGTTGTCAAGTCCTGGAACAGGCTGCCCAGGGCAGTGGTGGAGTCACCATCCCTGGAGGGATTTAAAAGACACACAGATGTGGATCTTGGGGATGTGGATGAGTGGTGGCCTTGGGAGTGCTGGGGGAACAGTTGGACTTGATGATCACAGAGGTCTTTTCCAACCTAAATGATTCTATGATTCTATCTTCTTAGGAATTTCACATGCCTTTGTAGGATTTTCCTAGTGATCTCTGGGAATATACCCTCCAGTTTTCAAGGAGTCTCCACCCAGCTTTCAGGAAATTTCATGTTGCCTTCTAGGAAACCTCCCCACTGCTTTCCAAGTGTTTCTTTCCCCTTACCAGGAACTTAGATTTTCTTTCTAGGAATTTCCACATGCTTTCAAGAAATCCCTAATGACCTTCTAGAAATTTCCCTGATGCTTTTTAGTAATCATGTTCTATTTATAACAAGTCCTTTCTGCTTCCAGAATTTCCCTTCTGCTCTTTAGAAATTTGCAGCAGCTTTCTAAGAACTGTGCATTTCTTTCCAGGATTCCTCCATTGCTTTATAGCAATTCCTCCTTACTTCATAAGAAATTCCCTCTAGCTTTCTGGGAATTTGTAGCCAATTTTCTCAGAATTCACATTTTGTTTTCCTGGAGTCCTCCCACAGCTTTCTAGGAATTCAGTTTTGCTTTCTAAGAATTTCCCATGGTTTTTCCAGGAGTTGCCTGTAGTTCTGTAGGACTTTCATGTGGTTTTCTAAACATTTTCCATACCTTTATAGGAATTTCATGCTGCTATGAATCTCTCACCACTCTCTAGGCACTCCTATCACCTTTCAGGTATACCTATCATGCCGTGACACAGTGTCAAGTGCTGTTCCATGCTGTTTGTGCTGCTGCATGTGGTGACATGCTGTGTGCTATTCCAAGTTGTCCTGTGGTGTCTTGTTTTGTCATATGTTGTGCTGCCATGCCTTGTTCGCACCTGTTTGCTCATGTTGCTGCAAGCAACATCTTGTGTGTCTTCTGCTTCTGCATCCTAAGTTCCACCCTATGTACCTGCAGGAATAAACATTTGAGAGTTCCTATTTTTAACTGCTATTTTATAAAGCCATTAGAAAAACTCGGGAGCAGAAAGTATAAGGATTCAGCAATATCTGGCCTCTAGATGACAACGAAAAAATTGTCAAGTCTGGTTGGAGCAGTTTTAAGATCCTGTGGCTGTTCCATGTGCCCTATGGGATATTCCTGCACCTCCTCTTGCCCCCACAGGTGCATATTGACTTCCCAGATCCCTCAGCCTAGTCAAGGGTCTTGCTGCCAACAGCAGCTGGCACAGATGCACAGATGCTTCAGGGCACAGACGTTCCCACAAGAGGTATTTATAAAATAGCCACATCATAGAGGAAATGGCTTCCTAATCCCCTTGAAAGGCTGGTTTATCCCTTTAAACATAGTTTTATGTCCCTTCTAAATGCAGATTGGCTTTTCATCTTCATTTTCTTCCATTCTTATCCAATATAACTATGCATCTAGAGAAATAGGAAAATTGAGTGTGCATCAATTTAGCTTGGCACAGTATAGCATGAGTAACCTAGAGCTGAGTTCAAATATTGCAGATGGAGCCAAAACATTTAAGTGATTTTGTAAGTAACACTCTCTCAGCTTATATAAGAGTTTTATTACAATTTATATTGCCAAAAAGTGTAGTGTTACTTGTCCGTTTGATCAAATTTCCCAAGATAAGAGTTTACTCCTTATCTGCTGAGAATGAAAAAACCGGGTGACGGTTTTGATATACTGGCACAGCCTCACAGGCATCTCTGGTTCATTTACAGAAATAATCCTTGAACTCTCCCAGACTGTACTGACGTCCTTTCCAATCTGGGCTTTGGATTTTCTACATAAAACTAATGCACATTACGTCAGGAGACCACAGGAAATGCTGTATATACGTGGTTCACCTTGCCCAGCATTCTGCTCCTGATGGCAAAATCCAGCACAAAGCCTTCACAGGCACTTCCCATCAAGTGCTAATGCGCAGTTCCCAGAAATGTTTCTGGTTTCTTCTGGCAAGCCCCTGATAATGCCCAGCTTGGTGCCAAGGCCAGTTTCTGATACCATATTCCAGAGCCAGCAGCTGAATACACCACAGTTCCTTGCACTGTACCTTCAGGAGTGACACCACATCATTCCCCACCTGCTCTACAACCACTTTTTTCATGGAACAGATAAGTCTTGACATCTCCCACGCTTGCCTTTACTCTCTGACTGCACTGTTTATCATCCAGGGTTTGGAATTCCTGGTCCTGCAGTGCCACTTACTGGACATTTATGTTCATAAAATCAATGTGCAGCAGCTCTTCATTTTCTCTATTGATTCCCAGAGCCAATTTGAAATGGAGAAAACCAAAAAACACTAATGACCATTTAGGAATACAGGAGAGCTTGAGAAAAGCAAATACAGTAAAACTCATTTCTTAAATGAGGCAATAATTATAGAGGAATAGAAATCCTCCTTTTTTGGTCACTGTAGAGAAGAATTTGCCCTGTAATAGTCTGGGAATTCTTCCAGGTGGAAACATGCGGATGATTAAATTCATCCCTAGTTCAATAAATACATCTGGGGATTTGCAGGAATCTTATTAATATATTCCTTGGGAAATAAGGCAACTGAAAGGAATGCTTCAAAAGGAGCTGAGGTAGGGCTTCTTTGATTAACCCAGTCATACTCTCTAGGCACGTGTTTTCTGTATGTACCATTAGTACTTGGCTGTAATTTAACAAGGAAGACACTACACTCTGCATGAACCTGTAAGAAAACACACACTTGTGTTCACCCATGAGGTACTGACTGATCACATGAGACTGGCTGTGTAGGAGACTTTTGAGGGGTCCAGGATTTTTGAAGAACAAGTCCACACCAGGCCTCAGTGTGGAACAGAAACAGGATCAGGCCAAAACCCCCATGTGAATCTGGGAGCTGGCACATCCTCTTAGATTCTGCATTTTTTAATACAGTCAAAAATATTATACTGTGAAAATTATTGCAGATGAAAAAACACATGTAGTCAGAGGTCAGATATTTTTTGTGACTCCTCAAATTCACCCATTTGCCTGGCAGTTTGTAGCTCATGAGCAATTGGTGGTGGCTGCTCAGAGCCATCTCAAAACTTTTCAGGATTCCTGGCAAAATATCAGATTTGTTTCTCAGCAATGGGAGAAAATACTCGCCTAGTGAAAGAGAAGTTACGTAGCTGTTCAAAACCATCTGCACTGAGTATGGAGCAAATTATTAACTAGAGGAATGAATGCAGCTTTGCATGTACAAACTCAGAGAAAGAATTTAGGTATTCATACATCTACATTAGAAAGTCTGCAAGCAGAATTTCAATTGTAAAATGCAGAAACAACCCAGGTGTGCTTTTAAAGCAGATTAACAAGTTAGTATCTTTGGCATATAAGAAAATTATTAGAGGCAGAACACATCAGTCCTCAGAATGTAAACCATATACCACAACACCAGTTATACCCACAGACAACTAATTTATTTCTGTGCACGACATCCAGCTGTTTCCATTTTCTGAAGAAGGTATCTTTCCTGCTCAGTCATTGCAACGTTTTTAGCAACAAGTGTTATGGCCAGATACCACCAAAGATATATTCAGTGTTGGATCTGTCAGTGGTCGTGGAGACCGGGATGTGCCTGACAAGATTAAAAAGAATTAAAGACACTAGCGGGGAAGTACACAAATCGTGCACAAATTTTGTTGTGCAAGAAAAATGCAGTGCAAGGGTATCAGTGCTAGTTTTTACTCTTTCATGATGGACTCTCATGGGTCGGATTGGCACGGTCTGAGCCATGCTGAGCTGGGGGGCACCTGTCAGGTTGGTACTGGTCGATACTGGTCGGTACTGGTCAGTACTGGTCGGGTCGGGTCCTTTCGAGTCAGTATTGATCGGGTTGGTACTGGTAGGTCCTGGTCAGGTGGGCACTGGTTGGGTCGGGTCTGTATTGATCGGGTCTGGTTGGCACCCAAGGGAGCAGTGTCATCCCACAAAGGGTGCTCCCCATGCCCGTGGCAGCTGCAGGACAAGGTGCCCACTGCCATGATCCTGCCCGGGCTGACCCCCTGCCCTCCCCGCGGCTGTGGCCTGCCCCCGCCAATCCCAGAGGTGCCTGTTCGCATCCCTGTGCTCACACTGTGCCCCTGCCAGCCCCAGGGACAGTGTCACCTGTCGTGACATGTTGAGTTACAGACCATGGGTGTGAGGTAGAAGGTTGCACAGTACAGATGTGGACTTTGGGAAGTGAAAGAGGAAAACAGAAGGGTTGAAATTCCTGAGTGTTTCTACTGTCACAGCAGCCCAGCCACCCCTGGGAGTAACAGAAAGAAGGAAAGTTACAGTGGCGAGGCCACCATTTGTCCCAGTGCCAATTTCCTCTTCCACAGCTGCATCCAGAACATCAGTTCTGGATACTAGCAGCTTTGAATTGCTTAAATAGAGATGAAGACACATCCTGCCCTGAAAAACATGGACAAAATAACAGAACCACGATGTGCAGATTAGAGTGTTGCTGCTTTGAGCCTGGGAACAGGCTGAGTCCAAGAGAAAAGCAACAGCGATGCTTTTATAGGAGCACTGCTGCCTTCCCAGTGCCCATATCAGACACCAGGGTTATGGGTTGGGAACCCAGCTGAGGAAGGGATGTACTGCTTGAGTGTGAGCAAGCCCAGCAAGGGGGTGACAGTGACACGTGGATGATCCTTATGTGGATGGTAATGCATTTTTTATCTCCTCCTTTAGGGGAGAGTGACGGGACAAGGCCTCTTGTACTTGAGCAACCTTCAAAGCAGCCTCCTGAGCTGTTGGTGCTGTCCTCATACAAAGCAGTTTATCGTCATCTCATCGCCAGGTTTGGGGTCTTTAGTGTGGCTTGGGTTTCTAATAATAAACCTGTAACAACAATCCCAATCCAGTGCAGCCCGGAAGAGACCGAGGTCAGACCTCATCGGGGTCTGCAGCTTCCTCACGAGGGGCAACAGAGGGGCAGCTGTGACCAGGGACAGGACCTGAGGGAACAGCCGGAGCTGTGCCAGGGGAAGTTTAGGCTGGATGTTAGGAAAAGGTTCTTCTCCCAGAGGGTGGTTGGGCTCCCCAGGGAAGCCTGATACAGCGTTTGGACAACGCTCTCGGGCACATGGTGGGATTGTTGGGGGTGTCCTGTGCAGAGCCGGGAGTGGGACTCTGATGATCCCTGTCGGTCCCTTCCAGCTCAGGAGATTCTATGGAATAATTAATGTAATTAACTGTGAGAGAACCGTGAGGCACTCCGGGCAGCTCCGGTGCCCCAGGGCAGCAGGCGGGCGGGCGGAGGGCGAGGCTGCCCTGGGCGCTGCCCGCACGCCGCGGCCCTGCCGGGCCTGCCCGCCGGGGCGGAGCGAGGCGGAGCCGGGCGGCCCCACCGCCTCCCCGGGCCCGCGCCCGCGCCGCCGAGCGAGGCTCTTCCGGGCAGCGGGGCCAGGGCGGCGCGGGGCCGGCGGCCGCGGTGAGTACCGGGGCCGGGGATGGGCGCGGGCGGAGGAGCCACTGCCGATGTCACCCCCAGTGCTGTACCGCCGGCTGGGCGGGGACACAGCCCCCCGTGTCGCCTCAGCCCTCTCCACAGGACACCAGCCCCGCGTGTCGCCCCATCCCCTCCACAGGGGACCAGCCCCGTCGGTCTCCTCTGTCACCCCGGCAGAGGCCCTGATCTGTTTGCCACCCCTGTCCCCTCCACAGGGGTCCAGGCCCATGTGTCATTTTCACTCTGTGGGGGTCTCTGCTCTGTACGTCACCCCGTCCCCTCCACAGGCACCCAGCCCTGTCTGCCACCTCAGTCCCCTCCATAGGGGACCAGCCCCCCATGCCACCCCCTGGTCCCTCTGCAAGGGCCCAGCCCTATCTGTCACCTCTGCTACCTCTGCAGAGACCCTGATCTATTTGTCACCCTGTCCCCTCCACTGGGTCCGGCCCCATGTGTTATCCTATCCCTTTCGCAGGGTCCCAGCTCCATGTGTCACCCTGTCCTTGTGGGAGCAGGGCTGGGCATTGGCAGTGCCACACAGCTGGCACTGTGGGGCTGCCTCCTCCCTGCACACATCTCAGCTCCCTGCTTCCCCACCTGCTCCCAAAATCTCCCCCTGACCACTCGCTCTCCCCTGAGCTTGGGCTCTGTGTCACAGGGATTGCGTGGCAGCTGCACAGATCCCAGGCCTGCAGGATCGTCCTTTCCAGGGGAGGAATACACCAAATAACTTCAAGGTCAGATACCTGATAGCCAGAGATACGGATTTTAATTATGAGTATTGATATTTTTATTTTTTTTAATTATAAACAATTTATTGTTATTATAATGGGAAAGGGGGAGTGAAGACTGGCTTTGTATCACTGCGCAATTAAAAAATCACCTGTATGGATCCTGTTAGAAAAAGATACATGAAATAGTGAAAAAGTACAGAAAAGGGCCATGAACATGCCTGGTAGAGCCAAACCTCCTGCAGTTTACCGGTGGGGGTGTTAGAAACTAAGGAGCAGAAACAAGCTTGCAGCGATCAGGACTGAAATAAGAGCTTGCACTAACCCTGTTTAGCAAAGAAGGTTTATTTTTCTGAATGTGGAGATGAGGTGGACACGTGTCATCTCTCTGTGTTTGATGGGGATGGGAAAAAAAGTGGCAGATTGAAAGCCAACACTGCTGAGTTGGCTGCAGGAGCCTCTAACATCTGGAGGTGGCTTTAGTGCAGAATGACGAAATCTCTGGTCCAGTTACATGCCAAAGATGGCTCCTGTTTTGAGGAGAGAGCCCCAGCAGCAGGCTCGATCCGTTTCACCCAGGCTGCTGCTTCTGTTGCTAGGCTACAAGTGGGATGTACATTTATAAGCAAAAGAAGAAAAAAAAAAACAAGCATCTTGTAGTGTTGCCATGATTTGCCTTCTCCAGCGTTTCATTTAGGATTGCAATAGGAAAAATCATAGTGCAGACAAAGATGTTTTTTTCCATC